AACCAATAAAAACATGGTGCTGCTCAGGAATTTCATCACTTTCGCATTACTGCTTACCGGCTTTCAGGCCGGTGGTCAGGCCGCGTCTGCCCCGCAAAAAGATACGTCCTTTAATATCCCCGCCACCTTACTGAAAGAGAAAAAGCGGCGACCTTATATCACCGTTGCAACACCAACGCTGCCGGGAAATGTGAAGCTGGAAAAGGATAAGGTATACCGGACGATCGGGGAGCGGGAGCTGGTACTGGATATCTTCTACCCAAAGCAAACCAGGAAACGCAAACCGGCAGTACTGCTGGTGTTTGGCGGCGGCTGGCGCTCGGGCGATAAGACCCATAACCATGCCATGGCCACGGAGCTCGCCCGGAATGGTTATGTAGCCATAAGCGCGGAATATCGTTTGTCGCCGGAAGCCATTTATCCCGCAGCAGTGTATGATCTGAAAGCAGCCGTCCGCTGGATGAAGGCTCACGCTAAAGACTATGGCATCGATACAACGAAGATTGCCGTGCTGGGATGTTCCGCCGGTGGCCAGTTGGCCGCGCTATTAGGCACCACCAATAACAATCCTCATTTCGAGGACCGTAATGGAAATCCAGGTTATTCATCCGTAATACAGGCGGTAATAGATATTGATGGCACCCTCGCTTTTCATCATCCTGAATCGGTGGAAGGTACGGTGGCCGCCCAATGGCTCGGTGGTACTTATGAAGAAAAGCCGGAGGTCTGGACGGAAGCTGCTCCCCTTGAGCATGTAGACAGCAATACCGCTGCCTTCCTTTTTGTCAACAGCTCCCTGCCACGCTTTCATGCCGGTCGTGATGATATGATCCGCAAGATGGACGCACTTCATATTTACTCGGAAGTACATACCCTGGACGATACGCCGCACCCGTTTTGGTTTTTCAATCCATGGTTTGATCCGATGATGGGACACATCACCGGTTTCTTAAACAAGCAGTTTAAATGATTATAAGGAAGATACAATTACTATTCGTGTTGTTGCTCTGCCTGTGCAAAAGTGCTGTTGCGCAGGACAATCTGAAGCTATGGTATAACAAACCGGCCATTCATTGGAACGAAGC